ATGACAAGCCCACTGCCAGTATTACTCTGAATGGGGAAAAATTGAAGACCTTCCCCTTAAGGACAGGAACAAGACAAGGATGTCCACTCTCACCACTTCTATTCAACACAGTGCTGGAGGTACTAGCCAGAGCAATCAGGCAAGATAAAGAAATAAAGGGAATCCAGATTGGAGATGATGAAGTCAAACATTCCCTATTTGCAGATGACATGATACTATATATAGAAAAACCTAAAGACATTATCAAAAAACTCGTACAGCTGGTTAATGACTTCAGTAACATTGCAGGATACAAAATAAATGCCCAGAAATCAGTAGTCTTTATATACTCAAAAAATGAATTAACAGAAAGAGAAATAAAGTAAGCTCATTTGCAATTGTCACCAAAAAAAAAAAAAAATACAATACCTAGAGATCAATTTAACCAAGGAGGTGAAAGACCTCTACAATGAGAATTACAAACCACTTCTGAAAGAATTTAAAGAAGACACAAAAAGATGGAAAGATATTCCATGCTCCTGAATTGGAAGAATTAAAATTGTGAAAATGTCTATACTACCCAAAGTGATCTACAGATTCAATGCAATCCCTATCAAAATACCATGACATTCTTCACAGAAATGGAAAAAAAACAATTTTACCTTTCATTTGGAAAAACAAACGACCCCAAATAGCCAAAGCAACCCCAAGCCAAAAAAAAAAAAAAAAAATGCCAGAGGCATAACTCTGCCTGACTTCAAAAATTTTACTACAAAGGTGTTGTAACCAAAGCAGCATAGTACTGGTATAAAAACAGACATTCAGACCAGTGGTGTGCAATAGAGGACCCAGAAATCACTCCTCAGGCTTATAGCCATGTGATATTAGACAAAAGCAACAAAAATCTACACTGGGGAAAAGATTGCCTCTTCAACAAGTGGTGCTGGGAAAGCTGGATATCCATATGCAGAAGAATGAAACCAGATATGCCTCTCTTACCATACACTAAAATCAACTCAAAATGGATTAAAGACCTAGGTATAAGACCTGAAACCATAAAATTACTAAGGGTAAATATAGGTGAAACACTTCAGCAGTTAGGTCAGGACACAGGCTTTATGAACATGAACCCAAAAGCACAAGCAGCAAAAGAAACAATAAACAAATGGGACTATATCAAACTCAAAAGTTTCTGCACAGCAAAGGAAACAACAGAGTGAAAAGACAACCTACAGAGTGGGAGAAAATTTTTGCCAACTATGCATCTGACAAGGGACTAATATCCAGAATATACATAGAATTTAAGCAATTATACAGTAAAAAAGTTAATAACCCAATTAAAAAATGGGAAAAGGAGCTGAATAGACATTTTTCAAAGGACGACATACAAATGGCCAGCAGAGACATGAAAAAATGCTCAACATCACTAGTCATCAGGGAAATGCAAATTAAAACCACATTGAGATACCACCTCACTCTAGTTAGACTGGCTATGATCAAAAAGATGCTGAATAACAAATGCTGGCCAGGGTGTGGAGAGAAGGGAACACTACTGAACTGTTGGTGGGAACGTAAATTAGTACAACCACTTTGGGAAACCATTTGGAGGTTTCTCAAACAACTACAGACAGATCTTCCATATGATCCAGCAATCCCTCTTCTAGGAATATATCCAGAGGAATGGAAATCATCTCGTCAAAGAGATACCTGCACTCCCATGTTTATTGCAGCTCTGTTTACAATAGCCAAGATACGGAACCGACCTAAATGTCCCTTAATAGATGATTGGATAAGGAAACTGTGGTATATTTACACTGTGGAATACTACTCTGCCATAAAAAAAGAATGAAATACTCCCATTTGCACCAACCTGGATGAACCTGGAGAAACATGTTGAGTGAAACAAGCAAAGCACAGAGGGATAAATACCTCATGTGCTCACTCATTTGTGGGTTCTAAGAAAAAAAGGAAGGCAGGAAAGAAAGACCACCGTAGTCCCATGATCCAACAGAGGGAGGGAACATTCCTATGGCTATGAATTGAAGTTGGGGAGGGGGAGCGGGAGGGAGGTTGGGGATAATTGGAAGGGGACAAAGTGTATAAAAGCCATTTCTGGTAATGGGTATGTCCCCAGTATGAATCTGGCCCCCACATCATGGGCAGGAGGGGGGCAATCAGCTTTGTATCTCATGAATATTCAAAATAAACAAACAAATAAATAAATGAGCGGATAGCAAACTTTTATAGATAAACATGATTGTTAAGGAAAAGGTACATTAAATTTCACATAGCATGGACAAAAATAAAAATTACTACCAATTCTAATTTTTATAAGGATCCAAAAATGAGTTTAGTCTTGTACTTTTCAAATTTGGTAGATTATTATTCAATTTGATCAATGTAAGAAATAAACAATAATTCTATCTCTTCATATGTAACAGCAAAAAATAAAAAAAAGAACTAGGTAACTTAAATTATTTTTTATGAGATAAAAATAGAAAATAGTGGCTTTTGGGGGTTTTGTAAATGTAACCTGCTCCAAATAGAGTCATAATATTGAAGTATAGTAGGATTTTATATTAAAAACATTAATAATTTTGTTTGATTTTGAAAGCAGTAGGGATGGCTTTCAGATGTTAATAGAAATATTGGTTTTATTAATAAAAATATGCCTACATTATGAGAGGCAAACTGCAATGGTCAAATCACATGTCACATGTATATATCTTAGTTTCCACTTCTTGGAATTACAGTTTAATAAGAGATAAAGTAAATAGAACTTGCCAAAAGTTAAGAAATCACTACATTGAAAGGGGTAGAAGCCACATAAAGAACTCATGGAAAGACTGAGCCTATTTTTTCACGTGGAGAGGAGAAACGTTAAAGTAGGAGCACAGGAACCTTCAAAATCTGACTCCTTGTCACAAAGAGAATGAATAAATATTGCTCTTGTTTGAGTTGTACAAACACTGTGAGATCTGGAGTACTCAAATAATTAAGACAAATAATAATTAAGCTTAAACTGAATGAAAGACTTTCCATGGCTAGATGAGTCTAAATATGATGATAATTATGTATTTAAATTTTCCTTAGCTTTCAAAAGAAACACTATGACATGGTGACCCCACACGTAAACACCGTG